GAACCCAGGGCCAGAGTAGGAAGTCATGGTATGTAGGGAACTAGGGGTCACTCTGCCTTTCCATGGTTAAGCAGTAGAAGAAATGAGACAGAATCCTGGCACAGATTCAAGCCTTTGTGAAACAGAAATGAATAATGAGACATGATCACGCAGCTTACTTTTTGAGAGGAATGCGCCCTTCTGGAGTAACTTGCAGCTTAAGTTTAGTATAGCTGTTGGAGAAGCAGAAAAATAAATGTTTACTTTTTTACAAGAGCTTTTTGCTGAAGAATACAACCGATTAAAAAGGACCAGTGTAAATGGAGAGTTGGATAAGGTGACCAGATTTAAAGCAGGGCACCATTGACCGGGGAGGGGGGGCTCTTGATTAAAAATTTTGTCTATATGGACCAAATAGACTGTTCCCTAGCTTGTCATGCATTCTTTCCAAAAATCAGAACTTTTTAAAATGCCAAAAATCAGGACAGTCCCGCCCAAAGTGGGACGTCTGGTCACCTTAGAGTTGGATGATATTTCATGAACAGTCCATGCCTCTGTCAACAGTACCCAGCTCAAGACACAGAGCGTGGCCACTTTCCCAGCATCCGAGACACCTTGCCCCACCTTGCCCCGGCCCCCCTGCTGATGAAAATGTAAATTGAGACTGCCCCTTGAGTGTATACCTTATGACCCAAGAGCCCCACAGCTAGCTATATGTACAATGCCACTGCTGACAGTATGTTCCTCAAAAGACATATTCTAGAAGGCCTATAACAACTATTCAGAGGGAGTTACTCATATCTGGATTGTATTTTTGTGATAAATATGTAATTTAGCCACGTTTATACTATACGAGTTATAAAGTCTTGTATTTCAGAACATCTTGTTTATCATTATGCCTTTGTCCATCAACATCACCTGGCACAACAGACATTCCAGAAATATTGCCTGATGGATAGTGGGGGTCAAAGAGTTAAAGGAAAAAAGGCAGGGAGAGAAGAGGAAGGTGTACATGAAGTGTACTCAAGATCACAAATTAATTGAGGAGACAATATGACCATACGATGAAGCTTTCAAATGATACTCTGTGTGGTACTCGGTGACATTTCTAGAAGAGTGAAAAAACAACAACAAGGTGAGCTGCAGAGGTCGATCTCGTGTCATAGGTTTGTCTTACGTAAGAGGACGGAAGAAATGATCTGGCAACAGAGAAGATCACCTAATGATGTTTCTGCTTGCGGTTTTGATTTAAAGGCTTCCCACCCTTCTGAACATCCATGGCTTCCTAAATGAAAACACAACCAGACGTCCTTTGCTGCTCATCTGGCATACATCATTTTCCTTGGTCAAATCGTGTTTAGGAACGCTGGTATAATCCCACAGTAATTTCGTAATCATGTGTTGCTTCTCCTTTAGAAAGCAAAGCCAAGCTAACTTGTTGCATGGATAAAAGCTTTGACTACTACATCCTATCTTCTGGTAAGGTTGTCCCTTAATTTACAAATGTAAATACTTTGTTATCACTTGTTGCTATTAGCGTGTGTCTAGTTTGTTCCTAAATTACTGAGTGACCCATGGACAATGGAAAGAAAGACTGCCCAGGCTGTGCCAACCCCTGGATTGATTGGGAAACAAACTATCGTGATCCAAAGGGTTTTTCTTTTTTTTTTTTAACACAATGGGTTTAATACCAAAAACATTTTACTGTGCTTTACGTGGAATTTTGCACAGCAAATTTGGTTTCTAGCACTGTTAACTACTATAGTTTAACAATCTTAATACAAATTGTTGTATGACATTGGTTACAATGTGCACAATGTTTCTCCTTTTCGGTCTAACCTTTCATCCACATTCTTTCTCTAACATCTGCTAGGATTGTCTACTCCAACCTTTCGGTCCGAGAGGCCAGGAAATTTCCTTGTCATCTATCACAGGCCTAAACCTCTAGAGAAATAAGTGATGTATGCTGTTCATTCACTTCCTCAGACTTGTATTAAAACAACAAAAACATATGTCGATGCAGAGAATTCTCCAAAATTAATACTGGTTGGTTCCAAGCACAGCTGCCTGTGTTTGGATGAGTCTCCGTATCGTGTGTCAAAGGCATTGACAGTCAGGGGCACGCAGCCCAGATGTGCATGCACACGATGTACAGCTCGGAGAGAAAAAGAAACTTTTCTTGGAAATATTCTCCCATGGAAGAGGGAAGGGAGCTGCACTCTAACAAAGAAATCCCCAAGGACAATACGTGTTTATCCATGTGAAGTCCGTGCAGCATACACACAGTCACAAAGGAAAACGGAAACGGATTCAGAAGAAACCACCTCCTTCGCAATAAAATGAGAGCTACTTACGCCTTTTCCAGAAATGCATCTCTGGACATGTTTTGGGCCAGCAGGTTTGTGGCCAAACTGAACACCTCATTCGTCCATTCCTGAAAATGTAAAGCGTGACTACATTAGTTTACATCCTGCACACTCATTAGATGCATGCGTTTAGCTTGGCTTCCAGGAACACACATTGTTCAGTCTGTATGCTGACCAACAGCCTCGTCATTGTTGGTAAAAATTACATAATTATATTAATATCCCAAGTGACTTCTCTTCTCTTCAAGGAAATGTTCTTTACATATAAAGAAAGCCTTTCCATGTTTTAAAGTTTGGAGCATTGATAGGAAACTGAAGAGCTGCCTTTCAACAACTGAACCTATTTTACTTTTTTTTTTTAACATTATAAACAGATAAAGAATGAGAGAAAATATCTTTGAAATATATTTTCATCAGAACTGAAAATGCAATTTATAGAAACGAAAACAGATTTTTCCCCCAAAACCATTTTATTAGGAGCTAAACCAGACATTAGCCTATTCCACAGTTTAATTGCATCAAGCAGTATTGTTCAATTGTTACCAAAATCAGTTTTAAGGCATTTTCTTACTTCTTAAACTCCCCCTTATCCCCCCACCTCCCCCAGGAACCCTTATTCTAGTTGTGTCTATAGATATTCACCTATCCTGGGTTCACATACCGAAAAACATAGAAAAGCGCACATCAGAGATTCTAGAGGGTACCCACAGTGACAAAACCCAACAGAGATAAACCAGATCAAGCCCAAAGTGGAGCAGAAGGGAGATCAAGTGACAAGATGGGAAAACTAAAGTAAGATTTATCATTTTAATCTACTGTAGTCACCTCTCCAATAATTTATTCAACTATTTGTCTGATAACCTGATTAATCCCTACTTTAATTTATGATGAGAGGAAAATCACTGGACGTTTTAAAAATGTTTATTAAAAATTCTAGAAGTTCTCTGACAATTGCAGTCACAGTATCACACAGTCCAGTGTTCTTCTTCCCCATGGCCTTGTCAATATTTCATTGCTCTCACTATAATCCCTACCTCACCCCTATCGCCAGTGGTCTCACTTGGCTTTCAGAAAAAAATGGGAGATGTAAATAGGAACCCAATTATAGATGATGACTTTTAAGACAAAATAAGCTTTCTGGCTCCCCCTATTACTTCCCCCCAAATCATCATATTAGAACCTATTGCAGACATCATGCCATTCAATAGTTCAGTAATATCACAAGCAGTGTTGTGCAATCATTTTCAAAACATCTCTTCCTTGTTGTACTTGTTGACATCAGCTCCTATTACCCAGCCCTCACTTGCCATACCCCCACCCAACCGGGTTTCATATATCAAAACACATAGAAAGATACATAACAGTGAGTCAAGAACACTACCAACAATACCAACATACAACAGAGGTAAGCCCCAATTTGAAAAACAAAACAGAAAACATTAAAAAAACAGATCAATCTCAAAATGTATTGAAAGAGGGATCAAATTTCAAGGTTTTAACCATTTCAGTCAGCGTTATCATTCTAATGTACTGTAATCATCTCTCTAATGCTCTCTGTCTGATAACCAGGTTATTTCCATCCCTCACTTAGTGGGGAATCATTCCAGGCTTATGCCATATGTAGATCCTGTGAATATATTTTGGGCTTCCACTCTTATCCATAGTCTTCTGCAAACCAGAATCTCACAATATAAGCCCTGATACCATTTTCTCTTTTGAATTTGGATGATATCATTTACAATCCTTGGATCACAGATGTTGGTGTGCTTCCTCCTTGTGAGCTTAGTCAACATATCACTTAGATGACTTTGAAAACAAACCGATAAGACCCTAGACGCTATTCTTTCTGTTAGCTGGGCACCATCTAATTTCTTCACTACACTTTGTGTAGAACCAAATCTTCCATGTTTCCTTCCTGAGGGTGAGTATCGAGGAGGGCTGTCATTACCAATTGTTCTTAGAGTGGAGCTGGAGTTAAGTGTGAGCCCCAAGTCCATCCCTGAACATATGTTTTCTATCTGCCTCTGGTTCACCTTATAGACATCTTTGGCACTTTATGGTAGATAATATCATTGATCATCTCCCTAGAGCATAAAATCCTTCTGTTTACAGTGTCATAGATTTTGAGAGAAGAAAAATTCGAGAGTTTAACAATATCCCTCAAGCACTGGCTGATGAAGATCAAGGATTGCAGCCTTCAGTTGGATTACAGCTCAATGTAAAGAAAACAAATAGCCTCACAACTGGACTAATTATGATAAACAGCAACATTATTATAAATAGCAAAAAAATTGAAGTTGACAAGGATTTTGTCTTGCTTGGATCCACAATCAATGCTCATGGAAGCAGCAGTCAAGCGATCAAATGATGAACTAGGAGAATCTGCTGCACAAGACCTCTTTAAAGTATTGAAAAATCAAAGATGCAATTTTGAGGATTAAGGTATGCCTGACTTTCAATCACCTTATATGCATATAAAAGTTGGACACTGAATAGGGAAAACCAAGAAAAATTGGTGCCTTTGAATTTTGGTGCTGGCAAAGAATACTGAATGTACCCTGGACTGCAAGAAGAACAAACAAATCTGTCTTGTCAAAGGTACAACAGGAATGCTCCTTAGAAGCAAGGATGGCAGGACTTAGTCTTTCGCACTGTGGACATACTGTCTGCAGTCTCTGGAGAAGGGCAGCATGCTTCGTAATGTAGAGGGGCAGCAAAAAGAGGAAGACCTTTGCCAAGGTGGACTGACACAGTAGGTACAACAATGGGCTCACACATAAGAACAACTGTGGAGATGGCACAGGACTGAGCAGTTTTGTTCTGTAATACTTCGGGCCACTATGAGGTGGAGCCTACTTGACGGCACCCAACAATAACAATAACAAATAGCCATCTGATATTATCGTCACTGACTTGGCTCTCTTTTAAATGAAATCAAGCCCCTCAAGTTAAACTAGCTTGTACACCTAGTTTAGTTGTATTTAATGTTTCTGCAACTGTTTTGCGTGCTTGGAGTCTTTTTGTTTAGTTTGCTGTTGTTAGGTGCCAACCAGTCGGTTCCAGCCCACAGCAACTCTATGCAGGACAGAACAAAACACTTCCACTCCTTCGCTATCCTCACAATTGCTCCTGTCTCAAAACTCACTCCCAGGGATTCATTTCCAAGCCAGAGCCACCCTATAGGGCAGAGTAGAACTTCCCTCATCGATTTCTGAGACCTTAAATCTTTAAGGAAGTAGACAGTCTTCCCTTTCTCCCATAGCGCTGCTGGCGGATTCAAACTGCTGACCTTGTGGTTAGCAGCTCAGAGTGCAGCCCCCTATAGCACCAGGGCGCCTTCAGTTAATGTTAGCTCTTTGAAAAAGTTTATATATATGTCTCTCCAAACACAGAATGTCAACATTTGAATTTCCAGGTGTGGAATTCCTAGAATCTATTGTTACTCAAGAGCTAAAGAATCGGCAAACTAAACTGCAGAATAACCCAATTCGTGCTTGGCTGCTAATATCATGCTAATAACATATTACAGGGAACTATGAGGGTGGTATGTGTCTTAGTTCGGCACATAAAGACAAAGATACACAAGGAAGGGGTTAGTAAATGACATTGTCCGTGACAATGTTGGGGATGGAGCCGCAATGAAAGGATGGAGGAGGCAAGAGTGAGATACCTACACCCTGAATGGAGTAATCTGGTTGAATCCCACCCTATGTAAGTAGGCCACACCCCAAAGTTGAGTGCTCTGATCATAGATAAAAGAGTTGGAGACCTCTGCTCCTGTTAGTTCTCCGGGTGGGGGTGGGAAATAGAGATCCCTAGGTTCTCTTGGCTGTCCTTGCTAGCAGAAAAAAAAATGGTTTCCAACAGCCAAATGGAAGTCAGCCAATAAAAATGGCAGAGGGAACTCAGTAGACAGGGCAGAGCACTCCCAGAATCCACAGCAGCCAAACCACCTAGGAACTGGTTCCAACTCATAAAGACCTATCAGCTTCAGAGACTGTGAATCTTGGGGAGAAGGAAGCCTTATTCTCTTGCAGATGCTAACGGCCTTAAGCTGCAGCCCTGTAGGTTAGCAGCCTAGTTCATAGTGCCACCAGGTCCCCTTTCTTCTGCAGCAAGATCCCTCATAGATCAGGACTTTTGGACCCGGAAGCAGCTACTTTGTGCATGTACAGGGTGTGCAGTCAGTCTTGGGAACGTGGTTTGATTCATAGAGGTTCTAGAGTAGTGCTTCTCAAACTTCCAAGTGGGAACAAATCACCGGGGATCACATTACAATGCAGCTGCGGATTCAGTAGGTCTGGGCAGGAACTGAGATTCTTTATTTCCCACAAGCTCCCAAATGTGGCTGATGCTTTGAGGAATAAGTTCCTAGGATAGACTGGCAGCATGGGCAGAAAGCTTGTTAGAAATGCAGAATTTTCGGCTAATTGACAATCTACAGTTTCCCAGGAACTCTTTATATTTTACACGCATATTAAAATTTTACTGCTGGTGTAGAACTCACACTATTGAGTAGCAAACTATGAGAGAACCTGTTTTAGTAAGCAGTGTTGGTTTGTCTCCTTCTCAAACGCAAAACAAAATTAAAAAATGTGAACTTCAGATGAATAAAGTAAAAAGCTCTTCGAGCTGTAGTAAGGATGCCATGGTTATGAAGATAAGACATAAGTAGCTTAATTTAAATGGTTTCATCGATGCATCAAAAGATTATGAAATATGTCTTGCTGTAGGGTAGACAGATCCTATCTAGTTCTCCAACCAAAATAACAAACTCACTGCCATCCAGTCAGTTCTGACTGAGAGCGACCCAAAGGACAGAATAAAACTGTCCCGGTGGGTTTCTGAGACGGTATCTCTTTCTTGAAGTAGAATGTCTCATCTTTCTCCCAACGAGCAGCTGGTGGTTTTGAACTGCTGACCTTGCATAACGGTTATGTGTTGGGTGTAGTGGTTATGCCCTAATTAATATAATTTTGGAAAGGCAATTTTTCTTTACTCTGAAGGATTAGTTTTTCTACTTTCAGAGATAAGGTTTTGAGGTTGATTTTTTGGCTTGGTTCAGTTC